CATTCGTCCGGTCTGCTCGATCTGTCGACTCCGTCCGAGCAGCCCGATCCGTCCGATCAGCCCGATCCGTCTGATCTGTCGACTCCGTCCGAGCAGTCCGATCAGTCCGATCCGTCCGATCAGTCCGATCCGTCCGATCTGCGCCCGAGCAGTCCGATCTGCACAAACGTTCATTTCCATCCGCCACTGACAAATCCGCTGCAGGGACGGCGTTCACCAAATAGACAGAAAAGTACCAACTCAGATGGCTCGTGCCCGGCCGGGCGAGCGGATCGATCGGACTGACTGGTGGCGGGTTGCACAGATTGGACGGAGCGAAGATTTCGACAGGCGGCTCGCGTCTGAAGGTTCCGATTGCGTGCGGCGGAACACATTAACTCCAACGACCCTTGCTCTGATCTGTCCGATCAATCTGATCCGTCCGATCTGCTCCAATCAGGCTGATCTGTCCGTGCTGAGAAAGGGTGGCTCATTTAAGTCTGCCGCTGGACGATAATCCGCCGTAAATGAGCCACCCCCACCCCACATCCAGCATCACCAGCATCCCCAGTGGCACCGGCATCGCTGGCTGCAACCAGCAAGATACTTGACCATGAAATGACCGGCAGGGAGACGAACATCACCAACACCCCCCGCTACGGACAGCGGCGCCACGTGACAGATAGAAAGTCGTAATCTGCCTACGCTTGAGCCAGCTGCCGGAAATCGCGCGCCGCCCAATCCGTCCGTGATCAGTTCCATCTCAGATCAACGCGAGCCGTCCGAGCCCTGCGTGTCCGCTCCATCCGAGACGCGTCCGATCCGTGCGAACCATTCAGTCTGTCCGATCAGCACCCCCGCCCACCGCTTCGCTCCGTGCAATCTGTGCAGCCCATAACCAGCCGGCCCGATCAATCCGCCCGAGTCTCCTGCGATCCGTCTGGCTGGTGCGTGAGCCATCCGCTCTACTTGTCCGATTACGTCCCTGTCCGATCGGTCTGCTCAGTCCGATGCGTCCGATCCGATCTGTCCGACTCCGCCCCTGTGCGATCTGTCCGATCAGTCTGCTCAGTCCGATCGGTCCGATCCGTCCGAGCCGTGCGATCCAATCAATCTGCTCCCGTCCGTCCGGTCTACTCAATCTGTCGACTCCGTCCGAGCAGTCCGATCAGGCCGATCTGTCCGATCAGTCCGCTCCGTCTGATCTGTCGACTCCGTCCCAGCAGTCCGATCAGTCCGATCGGTCCGATCAGTCCGATCCGTCCGATCTGCGCCCGAGCAGTCCGATCTGCACAAACGTTCATTTCCATCCGACAAATCCGCTGCAAGGACGGCAGTCAACAAATAGACAGAAAAGTACCAACTCAAATGGCTCGTGCACGGCCAGGCGAGCGGATCGATCGGACTGACTGGTGGCGGGCTGCACGGATTGGACGGCGCGAAGATTTCGACAAGCGGCTCGCGTCTAAAGCCTCCCATTGCGTGCCGCGGAACACATTAACTCCAACGACCCTTGCTCTGATGTGCTCCAGTCAGGCTGATCTGTCCGTGCTGAGCAAGGGTGGCTCGTTTATCTGCCGCTGTGAGCAAAAAATCCGCGGTAAATGAGCCGCCCCCACCCCACGGTCAACATCACCCGCATCCCTAGCATTACTGGCATCGCTGCTTACCCCACTTCGCTCACCATCCGATGCGGTTGGCTGCTGTCGATCAGTCCAATCCAACCGATCTGATCCGTCCGTGCCAGCCAAGAGTGGCTCATTTAAGTCTGCCGCTGGCCGATAATCCGCCGTAAATGAGCCACCCCCACCCCACATCCAGCATCACCAGCATCCCCAGTGGTACCGGCATCGCTGGCGGCCACCAGCAAGATACCTGACCATAAAATGACCGGCAGGGAGACGAACATCACCAACACCCCCCGCTGCGGACGGCAGCGCCACGTGACAGATAGAAAGTCGTACTCTGCCTGCGCTTGAGCCACCTCCCGGAAACTGCGCGCCGCCCAATCCGTCCGCGGTCAGTTCTATCTTAGATCAACGCGAGCCCTCCGAGCCCTGCGTGTCCGCTCCATCCGAGACGCGTCCGATCCGTGCGATCCATTCAGTCCGTCCGATCAGCACCCCCGCCCACCGCTTCGCTCCGTGCAATCTGTCCAACCCATAACCAGCCAGCCCGATCAATCCGCCCGAGTCTCCTGCGATCCGTTTGGCTGCGCGTGAGCCATCCGTTCTACTTGTCTGATTACGTCCCTGTCCGATCGGTCTGCCCAGTCCGATCGGTCCGATCCGTCCGATCTGTCCGACTTAGACCTTGTCGATCAGTTTGCTCAGTCCAAAAGGCGCGATCCGTCTGATCTGTGCGACTCCGTCAGAGCCTGAGCAGTCCGATCAGTCCGATCCGTGTGATCAGTCCGATCCGTCCGATCAGTCCGACCTGGGCACAAGCAATCCAATAAAGGTTCCATCCGCCACGGTGACCAATGCGCTGTAGATGGAATCGGACAAGTACAACAGACGGGTCCGACGCAGGCAGCCCAGTCCGATCGTCCGATCAATCCGATTCGTCCGATCCGTCCGATCCGTCCGATCTGTGGGGCTCCGTGAGGTCTATCCGATCTGTCCGATCACAGCCCCAGCGGTCCGATCCGTTCGATGCGTCCGATCTGTCAGGCGGTCCGATTCGTCTCATGCGTCCCAGCCATCAGATCCGCTGGGGCCGCTCGTTCGATGTCTACGACCGTGCGACGTACCACCAAGCAAAACACGTCATTCGCCGAATGGTCGCCAAGCGTCCAAGGCACGGGGGGCCCCCCCCCCCCCACGTATCAGACGTCGGGCGGGGGGGGGTTGGGGGGGGGGTTATCCTCTATCCTCTCTTAGGTGTCCGACACGCCGAGCAATGTCGGCGGACATTTATATATATATATATATATATCTCGGCGCTTTGCAGTTGCTTTCCTAGTTGCAAAGAATGGATTCACTTGCGAGCCTTGGGGCTACTTGATCAGGAAAGTTCGCTACTGCCGATGGCCTCATGAGGCCAATAAGGCCTAGAGGGCGTGCCTGACCGCCTAAAAACTCCAAGTCTTGGTAAACGGGTTACGCGGGTTTTAGTTGTTGGTCCCATATACCAATGTCTTTTTTGGGCCACAGCCATAAGGCCTAGAGGGTCCTGACAGCTCAAAACTCCGACAGCTCAAAGCTCACGCCAGGAAACCACTGGCCGGGAACCCCAGCTGGATGCAAGCGATACTGGCACCTACGCGTTGTGCTTTCACGGGGCCTTGGATAGATTTGGATAGTCTCAGGGTTGTGGGATCAAGGGGTTTATTCCACTTCTGTGATACAAGGGAATCTCTCCCTATGGGGTGTTAGTCTTTGGGAATCCCTTTTTGTTGTATCACAGAAGTGGTCATTTCCCACAACCCTGGATCGTCTTAATGTGTTTGTCGTGGGGCTTAGTGCGTGTCGTGCTTTGTGTGTCAGACAAATGATTTTGAGCGGGTCGTATGTTGCAGTTGCAGTGGCAACCACGGCAATGGGCGCGGCGACTCGTTTTGCCAGTTTCTGCTTGCTTCGGGACTTTCTGTCGCTCGTTGGCCGGCCCAACTAGGACCACACCATGGCTGTTGTGTTCAAATATTTCGAAAACCTCAGAGTCATTTACTATAGTCACTTGGAGGTTAGATATTTTCCGGTTCGTCTGACCTCAGTCAAGGTAAGCAAATGAAACGAGTTGCGACAAACCACGTGCGCGCGCACACGCACACGCGCGCAAATGCACGATTTGTGCATAGCATCGTCAGTGTATCCATCCATTTGCGGCCGTGTGGGTTTCCTTGTTTTGCCCACACCAGCAAGCACTTGTTGTTTGACATGTCAATTATGTCAGATCAAGAGTATATAAGCGTGTATGTGTGCGTGTGCGTGGTACTAATCTGACTCATGTCGTTCTATTGTTTTCAAGCAGATGCCAATATTGCATGACATACTCTCAAATACATATGTCTAGTGCAAACAGCTGCTCAGTGAGAGCTTCCTGCCACGAATGGGATAGATTCGATGAAGGCACATATGTTTGAGTATAGTCATTGAATGCTACAAGCAGGTTTCCCGCTTCAGACGCAGAGATAGTTAGTGAAATGTTGAGTGTCGTGTTGATCAATCTGGTTTGTCTTATCAAGTACCGGGTTGACAAATCTCGCCCATTCTCAGCATGTGAAAATACTATGCTGCATGCAGCCAGAGGTACAAGGAACGGCGCCAATCCAACACAATCTACGCCACAGTTCGCTCAGTCCAGAACCCTACATATATATACTACATACTATATATATATATATACATATATGTGTTGGATTTTATTGATGTGCGGTGTGATGCTATAGAGGACGAGATATTGGTTGAGAGCATTGTTTTGTGGACAAATATGTTGGTTGTTTGATTTGTTTGCATACAATGAAACTTGTGGTTGTGTAAGTTTATTTTGTACAGGGATGAAACAGGCATTTGTAGGGTCACACACAAAAATAACCATTTCATATTTGACTATATATAATACTGATGTAGAAAACTAGTCAATGGACATCACTATGCCATGTTACTTTACATAGATGAGATGTTGTTGTTCAATACTTGATGAACACATTGTCTAGTTGTCTCGTTTTAGAGTGTCATGATAAAATCGAGCATGAATATGTTGTTGAGAATTGACACGACCCAAAACTGTAGCTTGCAATGTGTGTTCTTTATTGACTTGGTTTCTTCGCGTAGCCGCCTCCGACTGCTCATGTTCGTTCCAAGTGCCCCACCCCAACGAGCCCTTGCTCCTGAAAACTGGTTGAAATGCTGCTTTGTGTTGGTTGAGCAACCTTATACCCTCCAAGAATCGTGGAGGCTGACAGGGTTTGGAAGACTTTCTTTTGCGACCCCTGTCCGCTTCCTTGATTGGACAGAATAGGTGATTACCAGCTTGCTCTTGGCTTCGCCATGTTGCCACTCACTTGCCGCTGGCCGCAGGGTCTGCTGACAAGCAGATACCGCGATCGATGCTGCGGCTTGGCATTGGCAGTTTCAAGCTGACAGGCTGACTTGTTTGTTTCTCCATTTCGCCTCTCTGTCTTCGGCAAAAACATGTCGTTCTGGTTCCTTTCGCCAATTTGGATGTGTTGCCAATGCAGGCTTCCGATCTTGGCACTAGACTGGTCAAGTTCAAGCCCAAGTTCATGGAGGATCTCACTCTGTAGTAGCTGCTTTGAGCCAGTGGTGGTGCAGTGTGTAGGGTGTAGCTTCATCGTTTGCAAGGTCAGTTCGAGTTAGGCCTGTGCCTCATATTCGGCTCAAGTGATGGAAAGTTGTTTTCTCGGCAAAGCAAACCAATATTCCAACGGGGGTTGAACAGACGCCATGGCATTCATGGCTGGCATGGGATAAATCCATGTTGGAAGTCCCCTGCACAAGCCCCTTCTCCACGTGGACTGAGCTGCGTTCAGTGGGGGAAATCGGAGGCCACCTTTTGCAGACGAATGTATGAATACCAGACATGTTCGAACTACTGGTTGCCTTTCGGGGTTGCCTTCCCTTAAACTGTTGGCACTTTTTGCCGGGCATTCGTACAGGTTGCCTTTTGGGGTTGCCTTTCCCTTAAAACTGGTGCCACTTTTTGCCGCAGGCATCCGAGAGAAAAACAAAGAAGAACAAAACGCATTTGACGCACCTGCATCGAGGTACAACACCATGCTTAAGGCCATGGCCAACGCTGGTGACGTCTTCGGCGCCGAGAAGATGTACAGCCGCATGCGCAGCTCAGCTCAGAAGGGCTAAACGATAGATTTTGCCCATTTGAAACATGAGCCACACTCAAAACCCGGGTAAGTGAAGGTTAGTAAGGGACAATCCCAACCATACATAGCTGCGGATATCCGTCTTCTTAGTTCTTTACATGGTTCTGGGTCAACCATTTTTGTACCGGGTTTTGATTGCGACTCACATGGCTTTTGCCACCAAAAAAATCAGGAACGCCGCCATTTACAAGGCAATGTTCAGGTGTATAGTGTATGCGCCCCAAGCTCAGCCAAGACTTGGCCGAGCTTTCGGTGGCCAGAAGGGGCCCTTGGTGCTTTGAACTCCGGTGGTTGCTGAACAGATACCCCCTTGACCTTACCCAACCCAGCCAATGTTGGCCTCTTTAACTTAAGTACTATATGTTATCATATATGGTTTCGCATGTGAGCCGCGTACACATGACTAGCGTTGTGGTTGCTGAACAAGAGGCCGGCATTCGGTTTTTTGGGTTGCACTCTATCGTAGGTACCGGCACAGTTTTCGGCCAAGCAGATACTAGTGACCTGCACGGGTGACATATGTTGCGGGTGTGCGTACTTTGTATACTACCTGGGTTTCAGTCTTTAGCTTTCCACTTTGTTTGGACTCTATATATATATATATATGTGTGTGTGTGTGTGTGTGTTTATCAAACATATATATATATATATTTATAGATATGTAGACACTGAATATGCTTGCATTGCGGAATCCCTTTTCAGCCAAGCCGATGGATTTCAGCCGATTGTTTGATTTTTGTTAGATTTCAGCTTCGCCCGGCTTTTTGGCGAAAACTTTCGCGGCTCAGGCGCCGAAGGGGTGCGGTTGAACAGCAAGTTCTACGGGAAGTTGCTGGAGACCGCAGCCAAAGCTGGCCCGGGCCAAAGGAGTTGACACAGCGCACTGCTTCAGGTGCCCCCGCTAGGCGCCTGCCCCCTGCCAACTTTTTTGGGGGAGGCTTCCCCTGCGAAAATAGACTGCGGAGAAAAGCTCCCTTATTCAGGGCTCCTTAAAAGAAATTCATGTTGCGACCATTTGAAACATGTTGCTTCTTCAACACCAAAATAAAGGGACACCAGCATTTACAGGGCAATGTTCAGGTGTTTTTCATGTAAGGATCATAACGCATCCGGATCCTTGTGATTCTGATCACTGGAAGACTGGAATTTGTGTGGCGTAGCTTGGGTGAGCTGAGGGCGAGCAATGTGCATCCAATTTCTGAGGGCTGAGCTGTGGCGTTTTCCTTTTACCCGACACGGCTTCGTGTTTCGGTGAATTCCTGGTTTCCCTTCAAGACCCACATTAAGAAGGGGGTATGTTCACACAAACTTTGGTGCATTTTGCCAAGGGATGTTAGGACTTCATGTGTTTTTGCCAACTCATGGGTTTTCCGAATTAAACCGCTAAAGGTTAAACCTTTGGCAGGGGAGCAGAAAGCAACCGAGCAAAGGCGAGCAATCTTCGTTGTTGGCCCATGGTCGGCATTTGCACCAGTGCACAGCACATCAGTTGAGCCTCGTTTGGCCTGCCATTTTTTGCGACTAGCCGAGACATGACAGCAAACAATAGCAGAGAAGACAAGTACAGACACATGTTGTCAGGCGCTGCGCATGACGAACGCCGGGTATTTGCCAGGATTGCAAGGTGGGATTGAATGGCTACCATGCCAAATGATCGATTTCCTTTTTTTGAGCCCGCCCAAACGTCAGGCTCCACTAGCCGCCCACACGGCAGTGGTCAGTCTATTTGACTCTTTGCAGTCCGCAAACACACTTGGAACACTTCGGTCCTCGTTTAAAGGAAGCAACGCTGCACTTCCACGTTTGGTGAGGGAATGTGAGTTTCGTTTCTTTCGCTCGCAGGGGACGCTTCCAGTACAGCGTTTTTGTGTAGCGGGCACCTGAATCAACCCAACCCTGAGTAATTTTGTGTTGGCATTGCTCCGCATAGACTTGCTTTAGCATGCAAAAGAGGACCAGTGAGACATCCGGTCAGAGATCCCCACGCATGGTCTGATGTTTTGTAGGGCTCCTTGCAAGGGGAACGGGCGATGCATTGCGCCCCCTTTTGTCGCCTGTTGGGAAGGCCGGTTCTGAGTTGCACACCAACGCGAATCGACCGGATCTGACTAAAATTTTGTGCAGTTTTGGTCCATGTTTAGTGTCCCCAAACGATATCAGTTTTTATGTCTGGGTCCTTTGGGCAAGTGAGGGAGGCTTGGCTTTGGAATGCAAGGTGACGATGCCATGGCGCGGCAATGGTTCGCGGACGCCCAGGCAAGCAGGATGCGATGTTTCTTTTTTTCTCCCGGAGATGGATTTCATGCGGACGTGGACCTTTGGTGTTCTGGCACCTAGGTCCCGCAGTGCCCTGTTACCAACTTTTTTGAGCGATGGACTACAGAAGAAGAAAAAAAATGGTACCCTTATTCTAACCACTCTACTGGAGGACCTAGACACGGTTGGATTGATTTCCACCGATTTTGGATGTCCCAAGCATTGCCAGCGCCTTATGGTCTGGACCTGACACGGTGCCTGAAACGGACTCAGCACAGATCAATGAGAGCAACGACTTTGGTCTCAACGGTGTACCCATGTTAGTTGGTGGTAGGGTATTCCTTGAGTTTGCAGCAACAACGCATTGTTCTAGGGTTTGATTCATTTTCCATTATTTTCAACCATCGTTCTTTTCGAAAACCAGCTGTTTCCCCTGGGGTTTTTGATGGTTTCTTGAAACGAAGGATCCCTGGAAAGAATGGGGATTCTGCCCCTACAATTGTGACCTGTTGGACATCCAAGTTGGTTCCGTCGTGTGGATTTAGATCCCTTCATTGCGGTGATTTGGTCTGGATCGGTTTAGTTTGGGGTGACTTTTGGCCTGGCCAACGACTGGGGGCAATTGAGTATACACGTACCTACAACCCCATTGTTGACCTGGCTCATCCAAACAGGTTCCAGCACGAAGTCAGAACTGATTTGATTGGACCCCTTTCTTTGCGAGCTCTGCAACGCAGCCAGGAACACAGAATGCCGTGGGTTCGGGGAAAAGTCCACGGACCAAGCAGTTTTTTTCGTGGAACAAGCAGTTTTCTCACTCAAGGTGCAGCCCTTGGGGACCTTCTCTTTGCGCCGCAAGACTCGGATTTTATCCAAAACAGGCCCTACGTTATGAGCTTGTCTTCCATGTGGTTTCCTTTGAGCTCCATGCACATGCCCCGAGAAAGGTCAGGTGTGTGCCGAGCTGGGCCGCTGGGACATTTGGGTGTGGCCAGGACGCCCCAAAATGGCGTCGGTGGTCCTTTTGGCTTCCCCTTTACAACCAGAAAAAATGGGTATTCCCCGAAGATTTTCAAAATTTGGCCTGGAAAGGGCCATCGAACTGCAGGCTTGGGAGAGTCAGCTTGTTGCTTTGAGGCAAATGCCACCGATGCAGGAAAGTTGCCACATTCCTTTCCGAAAGCGCACTTGAAGCAAAGGACTAGGTCCCCCAGTGCCCTTGCCCCCAACTTCTTTGGGGTTACCAACCACACCTTGTTGAACTGGAGGTGCCGAAGCTCCGCCTCCAGCTTCCGAGCTCCAGCTTCCACTGTACATCCGGGGGTTCCCCTCTGACGCGTAGCCAATCAAACGCTGAAGCCAAGGGAGAAAATCCATGTCTAGAACTAGGGCGGACTCCAAGAGGATTCACACTGTTTTTCTTGGATGTCATTTGACATCCTTTCTAGCATGCTCGACCAAAGAAAAGACCTCCCCTGCTGGCCGGAATCGGACCCTCAAAATGGTGTTTCTTTCCTTTGGCCGCCGGACCACCCGGCGGGCTATTTGGGCTGAGACCCTGTCGCTTTCAGCTGCTGGGAAGAAACAAACCCATATAGTGCAGATGAGCAGGGTTCAAACCAGATTGAAAGAGGCCCCCGTGTAATTCATCAAATCACGCGGCAGAGCAACGCCGCGTAAGTGTGTGGCGTGAGCGTGGGTGAGGGCATGAATCTTTCTGTACTAGCGTAAGCTTGAAACATGATTGGGCACTTTCCCCAATGCGTGTTTCTTGGATCGCTCGGCAGGCAAATGGCGTCGCAGAGGACCAGGTGCACTTTGCCTGCATGCTGGATGCGCATGCAAAGGCCCGACAACTGCAAAGGAGTGCGAGTTGGTGCCTCTTCTAGAGGGAAGTGTCGAGGCTCTCCAGTTCCCCCGGATACAATCCCATGTTGCCACTGCGCACCTGTGCGTGGGCCAGCGATTTTTTTCCGCCGCAATTGGTGAACGCCAAGTGTTCCCGTTGTGTTTTTCTGCGACTGGGCTTTGGGTCAAAGCAGCATTCCGAGATGGGCAAGAACTAGCGTCTTGCCACGACACTGTGATGGAGGGCATCTATGGTTCAAATAGCCATGAATTTGGAGAACCTATTGGTTAGCTGAATGATAGTTTGGCAGCCGAGATCCCTTTTGTTAGGGGTTACTAGTTGCTAGACTCCGGAGGGGTTCTTGATTGGAAGTCATCAACCACCCCCAGCACGGCTTAAGTATTAAAGGGTTGTCTCAAGCTTGCCTTCATGTGTTTTGAGCTTGTCTCATGTCGGATGTACGAATGAGTTGATGTTGCAAGTCAACCCTCGGTGTATTTCTATCTCCTTGAGACAGCCCGCTTTGCCAAAGCCTGACTGCGCAGGCTGGTGACTTGGACGAGGCTAGACGATGGCTGGAGAGGACGCCTTCGCGATGGGCTGCAGGTCTGTTTGGATGCCAGTTTGGGGGACTAGAACACGATTTGGATGTGGCTTTTTTTGGGGTCCTCTGTAAGCTTTTAACGAGTACTAAAAAAGAACCTACAGGGGGAAGAACAGGTGAAATCCACGAAAAAGCACATCCAAGTTGTTTTCTAAAGGGACGCACTTGCGGAAGCAACTGGGAGGATTTGTAAATCATATGATTTTAGCGACCGCATGCGACCGCCTTTCTTCACAGAAGACTACGGACTGCAGTAAAGGCCAGTCAGACACATTGGGTAACATACTGAGTCAGGCGCACGAGATAGGAATACGCCCAGCAGGCGGGTATGGGTCAAAATTTAACCACCAGAGGACCGGAGGTTTGGGGTACCTATGTTTGACACAGCCAGGGGCCGTAAGATTTCATAGGTGCAATGTGGCATGCTGGCAGGGGGAATACAAGCCTTGTAGCAGAGCATCCCGACGTGGCATGTCCAGACTCACTGTAGATAAGGCCCAATGCTGGCCAGATCTACAGACGCTTTCTGGCTATGTTTCTTTCCCAGTTTGCCAGGTGGGCCCATGTTCAAGCGAGGTCCAAAACGAGCGCTGTCTCCGGCGCTTGTAACAGCCAACAACGCGACGGCTCGCCAGCTCTTCCACTTCCTACATGTAGGGCGTTTAGATGAAGCATGCGGTGTTGGAACATGAGGTCAATTAGTAAAAACAGGTGCCGGGTTGGAGACGGAGGTAACACCCGACAATTCGACCATGTAGCAAAGAACTGCTGTAGCTCATATATCAAGGTCCTCCATGTCCCTTTTGAACGGCCCAAAAAGAAAGATTCCTAGTTTTGACATATCCCCAAGTCACATTCCTGACTTGCAGTGCTCTGGAGAAATTCTCTGAGAAAGCCCTAGGGCCGGAGGCATGCTCACGTCATGGAACCAAGCTTTTGGCCACATGGATTCACAATCTGAGATGTTCCAATCGAGTTCCATGTAATCCAAATGGCCATGGGTCAAAACCAATGGTACCATTTTGGCGTAGGTGAATTCACCACCCATTTTGGAACCTATTTTAGTGGTTGGATTTGGTCACGTTCACTGGGGGTACGATTTGGATTTTGACCCATGGCCCAATAGGCCTCTCCCACATGTAACTTTCAGCCTTGGAGGACGCGGGATGCCGGCCTCGGCTGCACCGATGGCATGCTGGGATCTCAAGATGGCTCCATGGATTGGCTGAAAAAACCTCGTTCCACGCAACAATTTGGCTCACTCTCTGAGTTCCATCTCGGACTTTTGCCATTTTTTGTGGGGTTTGACCCACAAAAAAAGTTTAGACAGAAAAAACAGTTGGTCACCTTTTCTTGAAGCCCAAGCCACGGAAAACTGAGATGAGTTTCAATGTCCCTTCTTGGCAATGCGCTGGGTAAGGATTCTGCGCATCTGAAGTCACCAGTGTCAGCTTTGCGCAGACAATGCTTGAAATGATAACCCCTCCATGTGTTTTGTTTGAGGGTACCCTCCTTTTGCAGGAAAACCACCTCATTTTTTATGCTTGGGGGGCCCCCAGAAAACACATCCATGAGCTCATGGGTCAGCAATCGCACTATGTCAGTGGTTCACCGAAATGTCCCATCATCAGGCTTGATGATCCATGTTGCTGTTGTTGTTGCTGTTGATGTTGTTTTTTCTTTCCCGGTTCCTTTGTTTTTCGGGTTGTTTGCGTTCTTTGCAAAGCGTTCTGATTTGCTTCCTTGGCAACCACGTTTGCCCATAAGGATGGGGTTGCGTTGGCCCACGCATGCTGCCGGCTCCGAGGTTTCACACCTTGCTGTTTGCCCACGCTTCGCGGGGTCAGAAGCAGGCGAGAAAAAGCTCCTTTCGCATGGCAGGCCATGAGAACACTGGAGGGCTTGGTGATCCATCGGCACAAAGAGACCCACTTGGGATATGTGGTTCGCTCCATCATATGTCGGTTGATTTCAGGGAGTTCTGTTTATCACACGACATCTATGGAGCGCTTGAAAAACGCTTCAACAAACTAATGTCCGTGGAGGGTGCAACCATGTAGCATGACCAATGCGAATCAGGAGTGGTGTCCCCTTGAATGGGAAAAGCCATTTTAGGGCACCCCTTTGCTTAATGTGCTGCTCAATTTCTTTGCCAAAGTTGACAGAATATTGTGCAAAAAAACGCTGCGAGAGAATGTACTAACCCTGGCCTAACAAGCTGGCTTGGCTGAACTGATCTGAGTCAACTCAACCAAAGCCATCTAGACTCGTGCAAACGCGGCATTTGCCTGACACAAGGTCTCATTTTCACTCATCCCAAGCTTTCTGCTTGAGTGTGCTCTAAGACTGTGTGGTTGTTTGCTCGGTGCATTGCATCCAGACGGGCTGCCTCAAACTTGAAGGCTTTTCTTGGGGAGTTGCGGGGTGGAACCAAGTGCCAGCAAGGCGCGAATGTGGGTTCCTTTTGGTATCAAATTTCGAAGGGATTTGCCGCTAGGCAACATCACCTGCGATGGAGCATTGCTCACGATTAAACTCATAGTGACTTAAATGTGTTGCAAGGAGTTAAAAGGACATTCCCCTCATGGGCTTTGGCACCTTGTCAGGTTCAACAGCCACATGGGCCACAGAAAAAACAAGTTGCTGACCGCTTGACCGCTTCATTTGCCAGGAAGCTGTCAGCTCGAGGCTGAGAGCGAGTGAGGAACACCATGGGATGAAAAGTGAGCCCAAGGGAAAATCGGGAATAGAGTTCTCAAAGGGAATCTGTGGGAGGACTAAAAATGGACAGATTGGTATAGTCCGTATGGCTAGTTGGTTGGATCTTTGGACTTGACCTGATTGAAAGAAACTGTGGAATTGTCATTAAACGCACAAAACATGTGCACTTTTGCGCCGGGGTCTTGCCAGCAACCAAGCAGTTGTAAATGAATCAGTGCGCCAGGTTATGATTTAATTGGGGAAACCCCCTCGGTGACTGTTTTCAAGAAACCTGAGCGAAACGCAGTAGAGGTTTCATTTCACATCGTGTTCACCACCATGTCAGTGCACACGTAGCGTTGAGTTAAGCAATGCGTACTATTGTGTTTTCCTTCTCGGTTTTGGAGTCTTACTTTCCACTTCAATTCTAAGCTTTCAAGGTGTTTTGTTTGCGGTGACTGTTTTCAAGAAATCTGAGCGAAACGCAGTAGAGGTTTGATTTCACATCGTGCTCACCACCATGTCAGTGCACACGTGGCGTTGAGTTAAGCAATGTGTACTATTGTGTTTTCCTTCACGGTTTTGGAGCCTTACGTTCCACTTCAATTCTAAGCTTTCAAGGTGTTTTGTTTGCGGTGACTATTTTCAAGAAACCTGAGCGAAACGCAGTAGAGGTTTGATTTCACATCGTGTTCACCGCCATGTCAGTGCACACGTGGCGTTGAGTTAAGCAATGTGTACTATTGTGGTTTCCTTCACGGTTTTGGAGCCTAACGTTCCACTTCAATTCTAAGCTTTCAAGGTGTTTTGTTTGCGGTGGCTGTTTTCAAGAAACCTGAGCGAAACGCAGTAGAGGTTTGATTTCACATCGTGTTCACCACCATGTCAGTGCACACGTGGCGTTGAGTTAAGCAATATGTACTATTGTGTTTTCCTTCACGGTTTTGGAGCCTTACGTTCCACTTCAATTCTAAGCTTTCTAGGTGTTTTGTTTGCGGTGACTATTTTCAAGAAACCTGAGCGAAACGCAGTAGAGGTTTGATTTCACATCGTGTTCACCACCATGTCAGTGCACACGTGACGTTGAGTTCAGCAATGTGTACTATTGTGTTTTCCTTCACGGTTTTGGAGCCTTACGTTCCACTTCAATTCTAAGCATTCAAGGTGTTTTGTTTGCGGTGACTATTTTCAAGAAACCTGAGCGAAACGCAGTAGAGGTTTGATTTCACATCGTGCTCACCACCATGTCAGTGCACACGTGGCGTTGAGTTAAGCAATGTGTACTATTGTGTTTTCCTTCACGGTTTTGGAGCCTTACGTTCCACTTCAATTCTAAGCTTTCAAGGTGTTTTGTTTGCGGTGACTATTTTCAATAAACCTGAGCGAAACGCAGTAGAAGTTTGATTTCACATCGTGTTCACCGCCATGTCAGTGCACACGTGGCGTTGAGTTAAGCAATGTGTACTATTGTGGTTTCCTTCACGGTTTTGGAGCCTTACGTTTCACTTCAATTCTATTCTTTCAATTTGTTTTGTTTGCGGTGACTATTTTCAAGAAACCTGAGCGAAACGCAGTAGAGGTTTCATTTCACATCGTGTTCACCACCATGTCAGTGCACACGTGGCGTTGAGTTAAGCAATGCGTACTATTGTGTTTTCCTTCGCGGTTTTGGAGCCTTACGTTCCACTTCAATTCTAAGCTTTCAAGGTGTTTTGTTTGCGGTGACTATTTTCAAGAAACCTGAGCGAAACGCAGTAGAGGTTTGATTTCACATCGTGTTCACCACCATGTCAGTGCACACGTGGCGTTGAGTTAAGCAATGTGTACTATTGTGTTTTCCTTCACGGTTTTGGAGCCTTACGTTGCACTTCAATTCTAAGCTTTCAACTTGATTGCTATTGGGTTGGTTCTTTAGACTTTAACTTTTTGTACAATAAAGGTGTTTTCCACTAAAGCCCCAAAAAGTTGTTCACTGTTTGCAAGGGAGTCCTTCCAGCAACCAAGTCAAGGTCTTTGTGGCGAGGAGATCGCGAACTCGAAGGTCCAAAGTGGCAAAAGCAAAGGCGTCAGTCCACATTCGGAGGCACCTCCTATGAAAATCCCACAACCCAGCCCCGAAACGTTGACCGCAACCCCATGCAAATCTTGAGTTTTTTAAAGAACCCATAGGCCATAGGCCCCAGCAACCGACTTGTTTCAGGGCCTTTGGGCCCAAAAAAAATGAGCCCTAAGAAAGGATTCAGTGCCTCACCAAACCTTTTTCAAACAAGGGCCTGCGTCTTGTGTTCCCGATGCAGAACTTGGCCTCAACTTCCGTTTCTTATTCCAAGAGCAGCTCTTGGAAAGGACTCCAGGCAATGTCCATTCCTTTTCGTTAAAAAATAAAAAGAAGCAACTCTTTTTGTCGGCTCCCTTCCGCAGCTCCCCGCGCAAACCAACCCCCCGCCTTTTCCACAACCAACCGCTGCGGTTTTTTTTCCCGGCGACGCGCGAGGCGCGTCCCTCGGCTTCGGTCGGCGACGGTCGGCGACGGTCGGCTTCGAGGTCTGCTGGGGGAGATGGAGGGCTTCGGCCTGCGCCCGGGGGTCATGTCCTACGGCGCCCTCGCGCTGGCTGCCTCTCAGGTGCGCTTGGCGCGGTCGCTCGCACGCACGGAGCAACAGGACAAAAAACAAAAAGACGGGCAAAGATGGGTTTGGCGGCCGGGGAGGCTGGCACGTGTAGCCAACTCACCTTGTTGGAAAATAGTGGTTCCTTTCAAGCTGCCTCAGGTCAGACCTTGTGCTCAAAGAGCAACCCCGACCTCGGGGTGGAACTGGGGCCAAACGATCTT